TTAATGGAGACAAGTTGGACCTTACATACAGAAAGACTGTGTGAGGGATCTAAGAGTGGCCAAGTAGTTTGGGGTGATTGGAGGAGGGGTCTAAGGAGGATCTGAATGGCAGTGGCCAGTAAACTGAGGTGAACAGAACTCCTGAAACCCGGACAATGGTGTGGGAAATGGCCGGGGACCACAGGGAGAGCTAGACTAGGTTAAGAGTAACAGAATTGGTAGACTGGGTGTAGCCACAATGAAAGGCTAATTGATGGAATTATGGCCTCAGGGGAACGCCAGAGACCTCCTTGATCAAGGGGGAGAATTCAAGGACAATCCAAGGGTTTTCTAGGGCCATAGACAAATGGGGCTCAAATTGGGACAAAGGTCTCAGTTTGGGCCCATACCTCATCAACTCCAGTACCTCTACCCAAAAAACCCCAAATGGGATCACGAAGAAGATCTGGACATGACAAACAGAAAGAACAATGACAAAATTAAAAGACTCAAATCAAAAAAACTACTTGCTCTGTTAATTATAATAATGAACAAGAATAGCCCACTCCTGAGGCAAGTTAAGAAAAATCATCTCCCTCTCCTTGCTTTTGCAGAAGTATGGGACCTATAGTCTAGATTATTTCATATATTGTCAGGCACTGTTGATGTGTTGGTTTTGATGAATGTTTTTTCTTTCTCTTTTTTGCTGCAAGGGATCACTAGTTGAAAAGAAAGGAAATATTCAGAAACGAAGGTGACACAAAAACAAAATGAATCTAAAAGATTTTTTAAAAGAAAGTCTGGCACAAGCAAATTTTACTTCTGGAAGCTAAGAAGGAACACGATGGGCAGAATGCTGGAGTTGGATTCAAATCCTGTCTCTGATACTTACTAGCTAGGCTAATATGGGCAAGTCATTTAATCTCTCTCAGCTTTCATTTCCTCATCTGTAAAATGAACTGGACTAGATGACACTAAGATTCTTTCCATCTCTAAATTTCATGGTCATCAATATCTGCAACTTTAGACAGAATTTTCCCTCTGATCTTGAGGCAGTTTAGGGGTTCAGGGGTCCTCGGACACCAAAATCACAAAACGTGGGTCCTGCCTGAAAGAATTCGACCCCCCCCCCCAAAAAAAAAGAATTCGACCCAAGTCTTCTTTTAGCCAAAGACAAGATTTATTAGAACATCCATCATATTGGGCAGACTCTTAAGGAGTCTGAACATTAGTAAGTTATTGGCTAGATTTTAGGAATCTGAGCATCTTAATGGAGCCAAGATGGACCTTATATACAGAAACACTGTGGGAGGGATCTAGGAGTGAATCTGAATGGGAGTGGCCAGTAAGCTGGGGTGAACAGAACTCTTGAGACCTGGACAATGGATTAAGTGTGGGAAATGGCCAGGGGCCATAGGGAGGTAAGACAAAGGAGTGAAGATTGGGTGTAGCCACAATGAAAGGCCAGTTGATGGGATTATAGCCTCACCAGAGATTTGGATACCTGGGAAAGTGCAGAGTTTTTCCTTTCTGGGGTCTAGATCCCATCCTCATCAATCTCACCTTCCTGTGAAACCCAGCAAAATCTCTCCATTTGGATGATTTCCACCAGAAATGCCACATTTATTATGTTATCATCTGCCTCCTCCTCTTCCCTCACTTCTTTCATACTTTTGCCAAATCCCACATCTCTCTCGTCCATCTCTTTCTCTCTACTCACCATTGCCATTGCCACCCAAGTTCAGGCCATCATCCTCTACAATGCTTAGCTGGTCTCCTTGATTCCAGTCTCTCCCTTCTCTAATCAATCCTCTAAAAAAATCAAACAGTCTGACCACATCACTCCACTGCTCAAAAATGTTTGGTGTTAGTAATAGCAACATTGTGCAATGATTAATTTTGATAGACTTAGATCTTCTCAGCAATGCAAGAATCTGGGACAACTCCAAAAGACTCATGATGGAAAATGCTATCTACATCCAGAGAAAGAACTATGGAGTCTGAATGCAGATTGAAGCACATTATTTACTATCTTTTTTTGTTGTTTCTTCTTTCTTGTGGTTTCTCCCATAGATTCTAATTCTTCTTTGCAAAGTGACTAATGTGAAAATGTTTAATATGAATGTATATGTACACAACCTGTATCAGATTGCATACCATCTTGGGGAGGGGCCAGGGGAGGGAAAGGGAGAAAATTCAGAACTCAAAATCTTATGGAAGTGAATGTTGAAAACTGAAAATTAATTATTTTTTTAAAAAATCGTTGGCGTTTCCCAATGCTTTCTTTTTTTCCTCCCCCAATGCTTTCTTCATCTGGAATTATGAAGCTCCAGAATGTGGCTCCTGCTTAATTTTCCAGCCCTATTTAATAATATTTCTCCTTTCACTCTCTGTGTTCTAGCTAAGGACTCGATTTTATCCTGCCCACTTAACCTCTCTTCTAAGTCTCAGTTCCGTAAAATGAAGAGATTTCGCTAGATGAACTCTAAGGTTCATTCCAGTTCTCAAGCTATGATTTTATGATTTATCTTCCCACTTTTCTACATTTGAACAATTCATCCCTCATGCCTAAAATACTCTGCTCATTTGCCTATTGAAATTCTTCTTTTCCTTCAAGATCCAGGTTAGGTGCCACCTTTTCCATGAAGTGTTTCTGCAACAATCCACCCGATACTGACTTCTCTCTCCCTCCTGAAATGACCTTAGAGTGCTCTTGATGTCTCCTTTGACCCTAGATGGTACAGCAGACAGAATACACGATGTGGAAGTCAGGAAGAAACAATTTCAAACCCTCCCTCAGATGTTTGCTAGCCATGTGACCCTGCCAAGTTATTTAACTTCTCTCTGCCTCAGTTTCCTTATTTATAGAACAAGGATAAGAAGAGTATCTTACAAGGTAGCTGAGAGGATCAAATGAGATAACATATATTCACTTTGCAAACCTTAATAATAGCTATTATTATAATTACTCTTATTCTTGTGTATATAACTCCATTAGAGTACAAACTTTTGAGAGCAGAAACTGTCATTTTTCAACTATCTTCACATCTATAGTTTTGAGTATAATGTCTTAAAACCACTATTTTCAGAGGCATAAGGCCTAAAGAAAGCAGCAAAAATACTCCAAACCCATGCAAATGTTATCTCACTGTAAGGAGATACAATTATTTGCCAATACATAATAAAATAATCAGTTCCCCTTCTACAGGAGTCTGAGTCACACAGCTGTGCTCCAGGGCACAGTCAGACTAGAAGTACTAGGAGTCTCCTAGAGTCTCCTTTCCTGATATTGTCCTACAAATGGGTGATGTAAACCCAGCAGCCAAGAGCAAATAACACTCCCTCGGAAAAACCCCACTCCATTTAAAAGACACAAATCAGAAATGATAAAGAGGAAATTTGGATGCCACCTGTTCATATGCTTTTCTGAAGAGCAGGAAGTAAGACAGAAAAGCCTTGAAATTTCTGCATGAGAAGGCTATGGGAGTCAGCCTTCAAAAGAGAAGACAAAAATGTGTGGTCTGTTTGTGGGTAGGGAGAGGTAGGGGAAGAGAGGACAGGCTCAAGCCAAATTACTCTGCTGACGCCCAAGGCCCTGATGCCAACTCCGAGTTTGTGGGCACAGGGGGCATCAGAGAGAGCAGAGACAGTTAGCAGAGAGAGTGAGACAGCTAGGGATAAAGTGTATAAAGTGCTTTGCAAACCTAAAAGAGATATATAAATGCTAGCTGAGACAGAGAGGCACAGGAAGAGACAAGAAAGACAGACAGAGAACATGAGATAAGTAGATAAATGATCAAGGCAGTACAGGACACTGGAAAGAACAATGAAGTTGGAGTAATTATTTGATATTATTTAAGTAGTACATTAAAGTTGAAAAATACTTTCCATTTCATTTCTCCTAACAACTCAGTGGGGTTAGGTGTTAGCATTATTCCCATTTTACATTTGGGAAAATTGTGCAGAAAGACATTAAATGATTTGCTCAGATCGTATAGTTAGGCAGGAGTAGAAAATCTAGGACTTCTGACTCACCCCCCCCCCCCCAAAAAAAAAAAATCACATACTCTACCCACCATGCTACACTGCCTCCCATAGGTTTGAATTACATGCTGCTTACTAGCTCTATAACTTTGAAAAAATTCACTAAACTTCTATGAGGTTAAGTTTCTTCATTTATAATTTTTTTTGAGGGCTGAGGGAGAACAGGGTTTACAAAGAAGATGAAGAACTAAGGTTCCTTCCAGCTTTAACCTTCATGATTTTATAAGTGTTAAATATTGCAAGTGGGTCAGGTCAAGCCTGTTCCCAAGACTCTCACAAAATCCTTATTTGGTCATGTTGTTGTACAAAGTACAGAATCCCATCTTTAAAAGCACATTATCAGACATTAGAGGCTAAAATAAACAGTGCAGGGTTAAGGAATGCTTGGTAGAAATATACCTTCAAATAAAAAAAGTACACCAAAGTTTCCTGGACTATTTCTCCCAAGGGTCAGAGCCCAGAAACGGCTTTCCTTAAGTCAACAAGATAGAAGGTTGAGAGCCGAAAGGCACTGTAGAGGTCATGTCCTAAAGTACTGTTTTATGGATGGCCCCCAAGACAGAATCATCGCTTTTTGAGTTGGAAGCCAGGCCAACTTTCTGGTTTTAAAGGTGGAAACTGAAACCTGGAGGTTTAAATTGACTTGTCCAAGGTCATACAGCTAACAAGATTCAACCCCAGGCCTCTGACTCCAAATCCAGTGCTCTTTCCACCATGCTATGCTGTCTGCCCTGTGAAAAAACTAGGTTTCTCTTTAATTACTTCAGGGCTTTGGAAGGAATCCAAGCTGAACCTCTTGTTCAGAATTCTACACGTAATGTTATAGTGAGGTTTCATTAACTTTGTGCTAAATGGAAAATCTTTTATTACAGAAGATAGCCTTACTCATCGGCTCCAGGAAAAACCATTCTAGACTAATAAACTATTACAGAGTACACTAGAAACAACTTCTTTCTATCCTCCAGCTCATTCATTACCTGTTCCATCAGGTGTAGATCGCACAAATGTCGGCAGCATTTTCACAGAAGCTGTGGGGTGGCTATCAGCCCCAAGCCCTTTCTCCATCTCCTTTCGGAACCTTTTGGAAACCTCCTGGAGAGTTTCATCTGACAGACGCATGTGATAGAGATACTGATCAACCTGGAAGGGAAAAGACCAGGATGGCTTTACAAGTGGTCCTATCTGTGCCTTTTATTTCCTACCCTTCATGATCTTATACTATTTCATGTTCTCTCTGCTTTCCAGGAAACACACACACACACACACTCTCTCTCTCTCTCTCTCTCTCCTGGTCCCCACTCCTCCCCTTGACCCTACCCCCACCAAACCCAGAAGCAGCAATAAAAGCCTAGAAAAGAAAATCTTCTTAACATTTTTGTCTTTAATTCTCCAAACTTTGCATATAAAATACTTGCTTCACATAAGGCTCATTGATCCAAAAAAAAAATGGAGAAAGGACAAATGAAAAAAACATTTATTAGGCACCTCCTATAAGAAAAGTCCAAGAGAAGGGAAGACTCCTTATACAAATAGAATTTTCCCAAAGAAGAACCAACAAAGAAAGAGCTGGTTCTCCCTCTGGAAGTCTTCAAGCAGGGGCTCAATGTGTCCATTGTCAGAAATGCAGTAGAGGGGATTACCCTGGGGCAGCATCTAAGACTCTTCAATGTCATTAACTACAACATGAAGCAGTATGCCTGTTCCCCTCTGATCTTGTCATCAAGGAACTTTGGTTGTTATTACTGGCTCCCACTTCAGCTTACTAAAAATCCTATGGAGCAGTAATCCCCCATCTGTGGGCCACAGTTCCATTAGGGGCCTTTGAGTTATTACAGAATCCCAGGAACACAGATTTAGAGCTCCTATAATAACATTACTTAGTGCTTTAAAATTTGCAAAGTGCTTTACACATTAGCTCATTTGATCCTTATACAACTGTGTGAGATGGCCACTATTGTTATTATCAATCATCATCATCATCATCATCATTATTATTATTATTTCTCCCATTTTCCAGATGCAAAAAATGAGGCTGAGACCAGAGTCACCAGCTAGTAAATGTGTGAATAGGGATTTGAACCCAGGTTTTCCTGACTCTAAGCCCACAGGCTCTACCTACCTACTCTACCATGTTGCCTCTCCTGAAATGTATTTTAGAGGTCATATAATCCCATCCCTATAGATGAAAAAACTGAGATCCAAACAAGTGAGTCCATCATTAAATGACTAAGTATAACAAATGAGTTAACACACCTACTCAATTAACATAGTAATAACACATGTGTCATTAGTATTTTTCAATTTCTAAATGCTGCCATGATTAACACAAATGAATTTATGGTGTATTCCTGAACGCATAGTGTGGTGTGTTGCCACTCATGCATTTTCTCTATCATAGATTTAGACCTAGCAGAGAGTTTAAAAATCATCTAGTCAACCTCTACAGAGGAGAAAACTGAATCTGAGAGAAGACACCCAAAGTCACACACAGTAAAAAGATAGAGAGTGTGGTTTAAAGCACAGTACTGAGTCCAAATCTAGTGCCTTTTCTCCTGCAGCCCTTCATGTTATCCTATGGAGGGCAATGGAGATGACTATTTTTTACACTAAAACAAGAGTTTGTTCATACTGAAAAAAGGTTGGATGGCCTGATTTCCAATCCATTGTTCTCCTTTCACTACCAATTAAGCTACTTTATGGATGCTTATTTCCTTCCTTCTTTCAGTCTTTCCTTCCTTCCTGTACTACAATCTTTTGACTTAAGACCTAGGGACAAGAGACATTCACTATGTTAAGAACCAGAAGATTTGGGGTCAGCTAGGTGGCACAGTGGATAGAGCACTAGCCCTGGAGTCAGGAGGACCTGAGTTCAAATCCAGCCTCAGACACTTGACACTTACTAGCTCTGTGACCCTGAGCAAGTCACTCAACCCCAATGCCTAGCCAAAAAAAAAAAAAAAAGATTTTTGCAGAAAAGATTAGGATTAGGGAAATCTCTGAAAGGGCTCAACAAATTAATAATGATAACAGCCTACCTTTCTATGGTGTTTTAAAGGTTCATATTATTGTGCCAATTTTAGAGATGGGGAAACTGATGCTCAGTCCACTTTGGTTTTTTTTTGTCACTATATCCCAGACATTAACTAAGCCTCAGAAGTAAACTGAATCCAGCTCTCCTAGCCTCAAGATGCTCACCATCACACCATTTATGAGCATTAGAAAGATGTTGGCTAAAAGCACACAAAGTCTTGTTTTATTTTATAACTGCCCCTTCCGAAACAGCAACAGATTCCACAAGGACCTGAGAAAAAAACAGCACGAGGCTAATTCTCCTTATTAAATTTTCCTCTGGTTCAAGAAACCAAAATCTTTTGCAGCTGAAATCCATCACTCTCTCCAAAGATCAAGACTATCCAATTAAATGTTACTTATTAATTGGGATAAAATTGCACAAACCAGCCCCTTGCTTTAATCTCATTAAGGAGCCTTCACTCCCCAGTATGAGTTATAACAGCAGCAGGCTGAAGGTTAGGAAATGGCTAATCTTGTCATCCCTTATCCAACCCACTGGAAAGGATTCAATCGTAAATGATATAAATGGGCTGATAAGTCACAGAAGTAGAAGCACAGTGTAGACATCCAGTATCACAGCACTGGCAAAACTAGAAGGGGTCTTAGACCAGAGGGCATAGAATCTTCAGACCCATTAAAGTCCTTAGAAGAGAGAATATGAGACCTGGAAAAATCTTTGATAAAGTAAAGAACATTCAAAGAAAAAGGGGAAGGGTGGGGAGGCAGGAGGAAAGGAAGGGAAGAAGCCTTTATTAAGTGCTTTATATTGCTTTACAAACATTTCATTTGAGCCTCACAACAACCCTGTGAGGTAGGTGCTATCATTATCCTCATTTTATGGTTAAAGAAACTGAGGCAGAAAAAAGTGACTTGGCCAGGGTCACACAGCTAAGTGTCTGAGGTCAAACTTGAACTCAAGATTTTTGTGACTCCAGCTCTAGATCTTTATCTACTAAGCTAAGTACCTAAGAAAAAAATGGAGTGCATTTAGAGTCTGCCACAGGAGAAACTGTTATGGGATTTGGAGAAGAGAAAATCTGAAGAGCTTTCCCTTTGGATCAGGACTAATCATGCTTTGCTTGGGACTGAACTTTGAACACTGGCACTAAAGTTTGGACCCAGGCGACCTAGGTCTTCCTTCTTGTCTGAGGCCGCCTGGTGAAGCTTCTGATGGTATCCTTTCTGTTGCTCCTATCCAGTCACTTTGGACTGATACATTCAGACAGAAGTGTGAGACAGGCCCTTCTCTCAAAAAGTACACTGTGGGAAGAACATAATGCTCAGATCAAGGCCTTGGCAGCCCACTTCAAGGCCCTAGGCCAAGGCCTTGCTTACCCACCTGCAGGCTGCTATCTTGGCTTTCCTAGGCAAGGCCTTCTTTGCGACTGCACAAATGATTCTCATAGGCGTACTAAAGCTTGTTAAAGAGTTACTGCAACTGAAGAGACCTCCCCTGTGTGCCCTTGGAAGATGCACGATTATCCAGAGGCCTACAATGCCAATATCCAAGAGAATGGGTCCCCAGTTTGTGACCAGAGCCCTTTCATCTCCCCTCTGGTTGTTACTGCTGCTGTAGTGAGCCAGATGAAGTGACACCTAGGCTAATGGAGAGACGGGAGATTATCAATGCTCTGAGTCCCAGACAAGCTCTCCATTCACAGTACCATGCTTTTTGGTATCCGCGGCCTAATATTAAAAAAAAAAGCCACCTTTGTACCACCCTGTACTTTACTATGCTACCTTACAATTAACATACACAGTTCAATCTCAGTGCTCAGTGGCAGTCTACACAGGGGGTGCTCAGTCAAAAAGACTGAGCAAACACTGGAGCCAGCCAAGACTTCAAGTTCAAGACTTTCTACCCACACCCTAGAAAGGGAAAGGAGTCATCCATCTAAGAAAGAGAAGGAAGAATTTTTCTTCAGACTTTAGTGGTAGCAGAAGCTATGTTTATATCCTATTTAGATGAAACCTCTTTTAGCAACCTGGAATAGATAAGCACTTCCTGATTGGGTAATCTCCGTCTCCTTCCCCACAGCCATACCCCCAGAATTAGGCTACTTCCTCTATGGTGGGGGAGGGAAGGAACTGATACTGACAGAATTACCTATGGAATAAAGACTTGGGGCAAATACACTAGGTGAAGATCTAGATGTTCACAAGAGGTAAATTGAAAGTAATTTCCATATTCTTTTGCATGAGACCTATTTTCACCAAGAGCAGGAAAAGTAAATGATATGTAAATTATTTCTCTGGGTCATATCTGTGAAGCAATGTGGCATCATGGATAGAAAGCCTCAAAGTAGAGAAGACCTGAGCTTAGGTCCTGCTTGACACACATTGGCTCTGGGACCCCAGGCCCTTACTTGACCTCTGAGTACTCTAAGCCAGCGATGTCAATCTCAAATAGAAATTGGGCCACTAAACTATATATAAGGATCCCCGCAGGGCCACATATTGATTTAGAAAACCACCTTATTAGCATTATCTACATTCTATTGAATTTTTATTAATTTTGTTAAATATTTCCCAATTACATCTTAATCTGGTTTGAGCCCAGTAGGAGTAGAGCTGCTCCAAGTGTTCGGTTCTAGAAGTGACAAAGATACCAATCTGTATGAATCGAGTCCCTTACGCCAATAAAATCACTAGTCCGATCCCTACCCTACCCCAGATCATATTATGTTCACTTTGTCCGATCTTGTCTTAAACATCCTAAAAATCCTACACCTTAAGCATCGTGAAGGACAAAATACTGGGCCTCTACTCTAATCTAGCTTAATCTCATTCCTTCAGAGAATCAGCTTTGGAAGGCACCTAAGAGGCCACCGGATCCAACCCATTCATACATAGAAAGTCCCTCTACACACAGCATCACTACAAGTGGTCATCCGCCATCCATCTCAAGACTTCCAGTAGGGAAGGCACCAGCACGGAACATGCCCATTCCACTTTTGGATGGCTCTAAATGTTAAGATGCTTTAAAATGTTTATATCAAGTCTAAATACACCTCTCTGCAGCTTCCCTCTCCAATGACCCTAGATCTGCTCTTCAGAACAAGCACAAG